GCCCTAATTAATCTTTAAAGCCAGTTCTTTGAAGAACAATGTAAAACCTAAAATAAGAGCTCAGTGCTCAAGTAAAGCAGCACTGACCAAAACACAGCTGGAGAAGCTAAAGCAGACTGTAACACCCTATACTACATCTCATTTTCACCTTCATCTCTAGGATAGAAAAGGTCATCACAGTAAACAGTTAAAGTAGTAGAGTAGAAGGGTAGAAGAGTAGTCCACGTGCAGACACAACTGTTTCAATGGGATGGTGCCTTACACACCCTACCCTCATAGGTAGGAAAATTAGCCAGATTGGTCTGGGTTCATATTAAGACTTGTACTTTTGTAACAATACTGGTAAAAATCATAATCCTATCTGACTATAACAATAAACTAAGGCCACAAGCACTCCCACGTGGCAGGTCTCAACATCCCACATCACCTTCATTTAATCTCCCATCCTGCCACTGAGGAAGCACCACATCATGACAGATGCAATGTCCTATCCACGGGCTGAACGTTTTCTTCTGAACATGAGAGGAGGGTACCTCCTCTCCTACCGTTTCTGCAAATTATCTGTCACCTATTGCCAACAAATCTTGGGTGTCCGTAAGATTTCAGCAGTGATGCAGTGAACTGTGATACTGGTTTAAAAGCAGCATAAGAACTCATCGCTCCCCTTCTTGTCTTCTCTTGAAATAAAAGGAATCATACAGAAAATCAATAGGCATTGATCAGGCATCATCATCCCACAGAGGCAGAAAATACAGTTTCCTCTTCTTGTGTGTCAACATTTCAGTGCTCCCATACTCGTTTGAAGGCACTGGGGGGCACCTTCAGCCAGGATCTTCCCTTCGAAGCAAACATCTTTAATGCTTAATTTTAGCTTGTGAAAACACCCATTGGGAGATTTTTCCAAATTCTCAGCTCTACGTGGGTTACATACTAGTTGTTTTGAAATATTTTTTATTATTATATTTATTATATTTTAAATTGTATTTTATTATTATCTTTATTATATTATGAAATATTTTTATTATTATTTTATTTATTTATTTATAATTGTAAATATATAGATGGCTCTTGTTCTGTAGTTAATGGTTCATAGGAAATTTCTGTATACCCACAGGCAGACTGGTGTTCACATGCTCACCCTAGACCTCATGAAGCCCAGTGTTTAATTACCTGCTGTATCTGCAAGGTTAGGTATTTAGCCACCTAAGTACTAACCTTTTGCTCTTGAATAGTTCTGCTTCTACAGAACAAACAGCTAAAGTGGAGAACATAAGGTAATTTGATCTAAGTTGTCAGCCAAAAATCCCTTTCCCTATTGCTGTAAGAAAGCTGAAGATATCTTTAGAGACTGCAGCTTGCCCAGTGCCAGTGTAAACTCAGAGAAAAGCATTTTTACTCAGATTTTTTTCTGCAGCTTAAAGCACAAGAACAGCTGTAACTTAAGCCTGCTGTGAGGTTGTGCTGGTAAACTCAAGGTTAGCATTTGTTCGTGACAGTAACAACAACGGATCAGCAATGCCAGTGTGCAGGTGCTCCGTAATCCCACAGAAGACCACTTGCTGTCACGTGAAATCACACAAATACAGTATGTGAGATAATACGTGTGATGGCACCAAAGAGAAGATCCTGAGCCTCATCATGAAGCACTGTTGGTTTTTTTTCTCCTCATGGAGATGAAAGCCCGTAGTCCTCACAGGGCTTAGCTAGGACATTAGCAAATAGCCCCAACTGTTGGTGCTGAAGCCCATACCTGCTTCAAGGGGGGTTATTGCTCTGTTGACTGCAGTATAGTCCCAAGGACTGAACATTCAGTAGGAGCAAGACCATAGCAAGGGTTTATTTAAAGGTAAGCCCTGCACTGCATCTTCCTAAAGCAGTCCCCTTCTTTCACTCCGAGTCTGCTCCACAGCATAAACCACAGCCTAGCAAGTGGAGGCAACTGCTTCAGGACTGGGATCCCAATCTAACTAAAATGCTAAGGTAGACTCATCCTGAGACTTTTAGCTTCTTTATAAAACAAGCCTCTTAAATCTTGCAAAAGAAACATATGAAAAATATGCAATAACATAAAACGAATGTTTGGCACTTAATATATGCCAATGTAGTTAAGTATATATAATTTAATATTTAATTTTCTGACCTTATGTTATTTCTAAACAAGTATAGGCAGACAATGGAGACAAAGCATAAACAAAGTTGAAAAATAGTTTTTAAGCAGTAGAAACTGGATCAATGAGCACACGGTTTTTTGATAGTGTGAAACGAAAGATTTTTGAACTCTTCAAAGGCTGCAAGATCCTGTATTTCTGTACATGCTAGCCCTCTGTAAAGCTGTGTGCACTGGGTTCCGGACTGCACATTTAAAATTCCATAAGATCAGTCCTATGTCCAAAGCAAACGTAACTGTCTTGGTTTCAAAAGCTTCTGCTCAGTGACCGCTCAGTTCATCTGCAATGACAGATGTACTTGATTCCAGCATAGTATTACACATTTTTACTGAAATCTGATCTGGGTCTTTACCAGCATTTTGAGAGTGGCATCAAAGTAAAGATTCATAGGACCAGTATAAACAGCAGACACTGATGGGAGAGTTTTAATCAACACACATTGTAGTGGATTTCAAAATACAAAATGCTATATCATTTTCAACGTTAACTTCACAAACGTTTGACCCTAGCAAATTACTTATACAAAAAAGAAGCTTTGAAATACAAAATGTGTATGCAGTGTACATCTTTCTTAGTTTATACAGTAGTCATAAGGAAAATCTGAAGGGGGGAAGTTCATTCGTGCATAAATAAAATATTTCACTCGGTGTAAAATGTTTATTTGCATAGCACTCTGTTGCCATATCACAAGGAGCATCAAGGAAGCATTTTGTGCAGATATAAAGAGAAAGAGAACATGTTAAGCAAAGAGCAATCCAGAGAGCGCAGCATCGTTACAAATGAAACTATGTTATTGTTCGTCAGAGAGAAAAATAATTTAGACATTAGGGGAAATGCTGTCAGCCCCTACTTAGGCATTTCCCATTCCAGCGGTTTTGCAATACAGGAAACACTACTGTTCATCCATGCTTTTTATTTGTTGTCCTGTCCACAACTCTAGACATGAAAGACAGACATTGAATTAAAAGGAGCTCTATACAACATAGCTGCTAACTTTTATAAACAGATATCTAAAAAGGTAACAGTTTCTCTGTTAGCGAAGAGCATATTGTATTTCATGGCTAAAAGGTAAGGGCAAGTACTTGAGTTAACATTTGCAGCATGGTGTCAAGAATCTAAGTGCAGGCACCCTTCGAAAAGCTACAGGAGTATCCCTAAGAACCACCACACACAGCCTCTGCAGCAGGTTGTTCCACAGACACTGATTTTGATGTCTACAGAAGCATTTGCCTTGAATTTTCCCTCTGAATCCCCTATTTCATCCTGCTACAGTGGCACATGGGTCTTGATTCCAAAATGGATTGAGGAGGGGTGGGGGTCGGAAACTAGTGCAACATTTTTCCAGGGTTAAAAACTGCTGTCTATCCCCCCAATACTATTGCTTTATCTGCCTTTTGCTACATTACCAGCAGAGTAATGCGTCTAAAGCCACTGCAAGCAGTCCTACTTCCTACTGCAAGCAGTCAAGGTTTGCGTGACCATCGCCTGGCCATCCGCCATCAGCAGCATTTGAGGTTTCGTTTCCTCCCAGCACTTACCCTTTGCACCATCTACAAAGCCAATCTCATTTTTCGTTTTGCTCATGGTCACAACTGTTCTCCTCCTTGTGATTCTGTTACATACAGTATTTACGGTGCACATTAGAAACTATTTCCTAAAAATCCACTTGACATGTCTGGGCTTTTCTTAATCGAAGTCATGTCTTTGTGAAAATGATTCTCAAATCCTCACAGATTTTTCAACAGTTTAGAGTGGTTTCATTTTAATCTTTGC